AGACTGCTGAACTTCTATTTCATCGTGTTTAACTTTACTGGAGGTGTACGTTTTTCTATAAACGCTGTGCTTGTCTCGGATTTTGGAACAGAGAGGATTGTCTGTGCTGCTGTCTGTTTAACTATTGTTCTCAACTAATTTGGAGTTGAGTACTCTGAAATTTAGGACATAGGATAGGATAGCTACAGACAGATGAGTATAGGATAGCTACAGACAGATGAGAGCTTTTTGCCGACTAGCTCTTTAAGTTTGGAATTTTTCATTTTCTCGTTTCCGTTTTCTGTCTGAGCTTGACACCCTGGCATATGGTTTGAACGCGCAAGGTGAGCTTAGAAAATGCTATAGATTGAATTAACCAAAACTCACTCTGTATGTGAAGTCCTCAAAACACGCGCTGAACACGGTCTGCTTAGGAGGCGCCAAAAGAAGTGGAAATGATTCATCAGATATGATTGTCATTATTGACAGAATGAATTTGAAAATTGCGTGCGTGCTGGAACGGGGCATTCCAACTGTTGGCTTTTTGGTTCTGTTCGAGGTAATACACTATTATGTCCTAACCGCTGTATTTAGGTGACGATGGTGACAGGAAGTTACAAATGATGCTGGAGAAATACCAGAGTCAAGTAAAATTGCAGCAACAACGAGCCCCAACTTCATCGCAGACGAAAACTCAATCCAGGAATAATATTAACAAGATAGAAACTCAGTAAGTTATCTAGACTCTGATTTATTTTTTTTTTCGTACTCTTTAAAGCTTGTAGTTTATAGGCATCACTTTTCTCAATCGAATTTGCTTTTTGCAGTGGTGTGGCTTCTGTATCTGTTGCTCCTTCACCTGGTCGATCACACCCCATGAGTCATTCACAACCGTGTCTGATAGCAATTTCTGACAAGCCACCTGATTAGTGAGTTTCACATGAGACGTCTATCTAATTTGCTTATATGTCACTTCGTTCAGTTCTGCTAGTCATGTTCACCAGTCTGTGACCCAATTTTCAAATCGAATTACTTCCGGGTTTACTTCGTGTGAACAGCATGAAGGACAATCGAGCAGCAATGGCATTCAAAGGGTGCGTTTTCTGTTAATTTTTGGTTTCTTTTTTTTGCTGTCTGCGTGATCGTGCCTGTTATCTTCAATCACTAGCCTTTTTCTATGGCTCAATAATTAGTAGTTGACGAGGCAGTACTAGAAGATGTTAAAAGTTGACGCTTCAGGTTCCAAACAACCAGAAGTTGATACAATCGCTTCGAGAGGAAAATCTGCATCTGAAAAGGGAGATTGAGGCAAGCAAGAAAAAGCTTGTAAAACTCCAGCAGGTAGTTTCTTCCCCTTTATATAAGCAAGACCTTTTGTATGTGCTATTCTTCTTTTCTGTAGATGGAAGCTGCTTATGAACGTATAGAAAAAGATTATGAAAATCTTTTACGAGAGAAGGAGCGACAAGAAGGCGTAGAGAAATCAGCATTGGTTCAAATGGAAATGCATCTGAAGAGGTTTGTTTATTCCTGCTCCTTCTTCAATCTTGCTAAAAAGAATCTTTGTCAGGGTAATATCCGAAAAGGAGGCTCTCCAAGATCGGCTTGAGCAGTTTTCCCTACCAAATGCTCAAGCAATGGAGAAAGTCAATCAGCTCAATATGGTTCTGGCAGAGATCATACCACAGAGTTCGTATGTTCAGCTTAGAAGACGTGCATCTTGATGTGCTTGCCAAGCGTTTTAGACAAAGAGTTGGCGGCGGTCAAGGAGCGGCAGCGCCTCGAGTTGGAGGCGCAGAACGCCACCCTGGAGGAGCAGCGCACACACATTTCCATGCTTGAAAAAGCTCTGAGTAATGCTCAGGAACGGTTGGCAAAGCGCGAAAAGGTGATGCTGATTCGCTGGGCACATTAGAATTCTTCTCCTTTGAATCATGTTGTTTTTCAGGTTTGCGACGAGTTAACCTTGGCT